CTGCTGATGCTGGGGAGGTTGGAGCAGCACCCAGCAGGGCTGTGGTGGGAACGCTTCATGCCTGGGGCAGGGAGAGGGGCACACGGGGAAGCAGGGAGCCCAGGCTGCGGGTACCACGGGGACCTGCCTCTGCTTCAGCAGCTGCTGTGCTCTTGTTTGCTTTGTTCCCATCTGATATTATCTTCTAAAAGGCTGAACGGGTCATTTACAGGATGCATGACAGGTGGTTTTTCCTTATTTATGGCAGGGTCTGGTTTATTTTTAAAGCCTCTGTCCCACCTTATCCTGTGCGCCATGCCGGCTGATGTTATCCGCAGCCACCCCACAGCAGGAGTCCGAGCAAAGCTCAGGGCAGGACATGGCTCTGCAGCGGAGCAAGGGAGGGTAGGAGGTCTCGTTTGCATTGAGAACTGCTATTTTGATCCCTGCAGTGGCAGGAAATAGCTGGAAGCTAAAACCAGGCGCAGATGCCTCCAGTCGCATCCCAGCCGTGACAGTGCACTGGGGAAGGGGTCAGGAAGCCCAGCGGGGGCTATGGGGCCCCATCAGCTCGGCAGGAGCTACCACTCAGAGAGTTCTCCAGGGGCTTCGGGTGCAGTAAATCGTTAGAAAGCTGCACAGCCGGCCAGCTATTGTGTCTGCCGTTCAAAACAGCAAAGCTGAGCAGAGATCATGTCTTTTCTGGAAAAGTGGCTGCTTTCTGCCAGGATAGTAAATGCTGACTGCACTAGCAGTGCTGGGCAGGCATGCCGGGAGACAGAGGGATGTCCTCTCCCATCTCAGGCCAGAGCTGGGAGCCCTGCTAGTAACCCCAGGATGTCTCTGGGGAGCTGGGTGCAACCAGAGGACACGGGCAGTATAACTGTGGAGGGAGGTCTCTCTCCACCCCACTGCTCCTACCTCACATCTAGGTCAGGTCACTCAGGGCCTTGTCCAGCTGATTTTTAGAGATCACCGAGGATGGAGGTGCCTTCACTTCTCTGGTCCCTGTCCCCATGTTGGACCCCCTGCACTATGAAGATTTTTTCCCAAATATCTAATAAGACTTTCTCTTGCTGCAACTTGTGTCCATCAGCCATTGGCTTTTGCCTGCTCACTCCAAAATGGCCCTGGAGGTGCACTTAAATGCCCCATCAGCCACACTAAGAGCACCAGGTGCTGCCTGCACAGCCTCCACATAGATGGCAATGCTGGCTGGAGCCGCCAGCAGGCCAGGCAACCGATGAACCCCTTGCAAGCTTCAGCTGGTGGCTGCTCTCACATTGCTCCACCTAAAACCAAGACAGTTAGTCAGAGCCAAGTGTGAATCCCCCAGGGCTCTTTAGCTTGACACGTAGGACAGAGCAGGTGTCACCGGGGCTGTGGTTTCACTGTGACAGTGCATCTGGCACTGTCACTTCTGCCTGGGTGAGTAATCCCCTGCCACCGAACTCTTGCCCCTCTGCTGCCCAGGGCATGGGACTGCTCACGGAGATGAATGACGACTTCAGCCCCCAAGCCTTTCTGAAAGCCGAATAGATAGGTTACATCCTTTGCACTGAAAAAGCCATTTTTTTCCAATGCCTGCAAAAATTTCAGCAGAAAAAAACAGTGAGCAGTGGTGCTTTTCAGCAGCCAAGCAAACCAGTTGTGATTCTCCGTATTTCTGCTAGGCTTAAAGAAATGTAAGCAAGAAAATCACCTCTCCTGTAAAGGGAAGAGGTCCTGTGCAGCCTGAAGGCCAGGCTCTAGGCCTCGGCTTAAACGGGGCTCCATTTACGTAGTGGGTAGGTGAGCAGTGGTCCAGATATGGCCAATCAGGACATTTAGGGACTCCTGGTGCCCTCAGGTCCCATCATATACCCCCAATTTTTAGCACCCAAGAGGTGCCAAGTGCTGGGTGCCACGTGCTACGCAGGGCCACGTGGCTCCTGAAAACCTCCGGGGCCCAGTGGAGCAATGTGGGGAGACCTGCAGAGCCCTCCAGGACCCCCAGGGTTTTGACCTTTTCCTGAAAGCCATCTCACAACCTTGAGAGGTAGGAACTGTTCTCCCTCTGGAGCAAGGGTAGAGGGGAGACAAGGTAAAACCATCAGGCGTCACGTCCTGCGTGCTGGGGCACCCTGAGCTGCCAGCAGGTAGAAGATACTGTATCCTACGGGGAAACGCCTCAGGAACCTGGAGATTATCAGAAATAGAAACAGCTGTGAAGATGAAACATGAAAGTTGAAGCACGTGTTCCCTATGCAAATCAATGCACACACATCAATGTACATTAATGCAGCAGGCTGTAAACAATGATTTATAAACCTCTGGGGCGTGTTGCTGCTGGCGGCCCAGGCTAGATGCATGATCTAGAGGTGATGAGGGGCCCTGGGGTGACTGGGATTTCTAGGAGAAGGGCAGGTGGCTCAGAGTTGACCTGGGATGCTGATCAAGGAGGGGAGGAACGATTTGTGGCCTGAGCCTGGCCTCATCGGCACTTGGACTTCATGGACATCCCAGCAGCCACAGTGCTGGCGTCCGAGGGATCTCCTTCTCCCCCTGCATTGCTTCTGGAGGTCTCCAAATGCCCAAGGTAGATAAGCAGCATTCACCTGGCCCCCACCAGCTCACACGGATGAGGGACTGAACTTTGTCCGCCCCCTTCCTATATGGACACCTCCGAACTGAGCCAACACCAGGAAAGCCCAGGCAGTGCTGCTGCACAGCCATGGCTGCAACACTCTGCAGACAAGGCCAGCTTGGCTTGCAGCACCTGGGGCTAAAGATGGTCTTTCCCCAGTCCATCCAGGGTGGTGGATGATGCCGTCTACCAGCATACTCCATCACACTCAGATATCCTCCGGCCTTACGCAACCACTGTGTTACAACCAGTGTTCACCAAGTGACTCAAGCAGAGCGGGCTGTTTCACAACCAGCCCCGGTCTATTTATGAGCCCCTGCTCAAATGCCAAAAGACCCTTTTATTAGTCAAAGCAACCTCCTGCAGACAAGGCTCAGTGGGGTCTTTGCTTTTTGAGGTAAAGCTCAAAGAAGAGGATCTCTCCGGCGTCTCATGGATAGGAGAGCTGGCTCTCTGCAAGCTGCAAGGCAGTTTTGGAGCTGAGCCCCATCCCAGCAGTGCTGTCAGCAAGTGAGAGCCCTGGGGCATTCAGTACACCCCAGGGTACCGAGTGGGCTAAGGTGAATTATCCGTCAACCAGGAAAGCAGTTGGGTTTAAAGCTATGCAGTAGGGGTGCAGCATGATGGAGGTGCCTGGCTTACATCCCAGAGCCAAAGGGAAGGAGAAGCTGGACTGCAAGGTGGAGGCAGGGCAGGCCTGCAGGCGAGGAGGGGAACAGATGGCCCAGAGGGGTCCCATGGCAGGCCAAGGGCTCCTGACAGCACCGGAGAGCTAGCAACACCAACCAGCCCGCCTGACAGAGATGGGCCAGGCAACTCGGACACCAAGAGAGCAGATCAAGAAAGGCCGCATTTTTGCATCCAGCTCCTCCCCCGCCAACACCCCACAGCTTGGTTTCGGAAACACCGAGATGATTCAGTGTCAAGGGACTTCTGCGTGCTTTGTGGGGGCAACGCCTCGTGTTTTAGTTGACTGAATTGGCAGGCTTGACCCTCTGCCACAGGGGAGCAAACTTGGAGCCCTGCAGAAGAGAGGTGTGGGACTTACCCAAGGTGTACTTACTTGTTTTGCTTGTGCTTTTGTGCCAAGTCTGCCAGAGATTCGTGCAAAGCACAAGTGGGACAAACGTTACCTGGCGGAGAATGTGGGCTTCTTGCTTCTGCCATTGCAGGGAGCACCTAGCACTGATCACAGCCGAAGACAGTGAGCGCTTGGGCAATGGACATGCATGGGGTATGGTGCTCCGAGGACTGACCCTTTACTTATACACCAAAAAACAAACAAACAAACAGTTCAGCCATGCTTGGGAACAACATAACTGTTTATGCCTATGTGTGATAACAAAAAATATTAATAAAAACAAAGCAGCTCAACTGCTCATCGCCAGCTTTGTGTGATGTCTGGCCATGCTGCTAGGAGGAGGAACAGGGCGTTGATCAGGAGGGAAAGTGGGGTGATTGCTGGGTCCAAGCCCACGCTCCCAAAAGATCCTGCTTCCTCTGGTTTGTGATTCCCCTGCACAAACTTTATGGTATGATTTTTGGGTTGTCCTATTCAGGGACAGGAGTTGGACTCGATGATCCTTGTGGGTCCCTTCCAACTCAGGATATTCTATGATTCTAAACTTGCCTGGTAGCTGGGGAGAAGAAAAAAAAAACAAACCAAAATACCACTAGGCTGGATGCCATATACTGTTCCCTCACCCAGAGGATAAATGGTGTTTTTTAATTAATGTCTTTAAACTAACCCCCCCAACATGCCTGTTGCTGTGACATCACTCCCAAGTGACGCCCAGGCCTAAATACGGCTGTAAACAGGAATCGTCCCCACGGGAGTCACGCTGGCTATAAATACAGCAGCAGGGGAGTGCTGAGCAGAGGACAGGCTGCAGTTTCCTGCCAGCTAAGGATGGTGAGGCAGCTCAGCTGGGCGCTGCTGGCGCGTGGTCGCCACAGTGGGGAAACTGAGGCAGGAGTTTCTGGGGGGCTGGGGCTCCCGGCTGAGCTCCCCGGCGTGCCTTTGGGAAGGGAGTTGTACCCTGCCGTGGCCAGAGGCCACTGAGGAGAGGGAGCTGGGGGGGATGGGGATGGCAAACCTGGGGCTCAGCAAGTGTGGCCCCACTGGCCACTCCCAGCTTGGGCAATGACGATGGCCCCTCTCTGCAGTGCCTGGCCCCATAGCCCTGCCCCAGGAGGAGATGGCCACAGAGAAGCCAGTGACTCCCACTGAGGAGCAGCTGGAGATCCTGGAATACAACTTCTGCAAGGTGAACAAGCATCCTGACCCCACCACGCTGTGCCTCATTGCGGCTGAGACTGGGCTCTCTGAGGAGCAGACCCTGGTGAGTGTGCGCCCCTTGCCTCTGCCTTGGCACCAGCCCTGCTCCCCCTGCATGCCCCTGTGCCCCACACACTCCCCCCACCTCTCCTGCCTGTCCTGTCCCTGGCTCTCTATCATACCCCCTGCACCCTTCTGTCTGCCCACATGCTTCCTACTGCACCACCTGCACCCCTCTGTGCCCCATACGCTCCCTACTTACATTCTCTGCACCACTCTGCACCCCGCATACTCCTTACTGCACCCACAAATCTCCTCTGTGCCTCTGCAACCCCCAGTGCATCCCCAACCCCACACTGCACCCACAGAGTGCTGCACCACCGCACCTCCCTGTACCCCACATCCTCCCTGCACCCCGTATGTTCCTACCCCTGCATCCCCAAAGCCCCTTCCCCTGTAATCGCAGCCCCTTCATCCCACAGCCGCGGCCTCCTGCATAGCAGCCCTGTGCCCCACTGGGATCCTTGCACCCCCCCTGCCTGGGAGCCCCATCCCCAGCCTGGGCTCGGAGACTAGGCTAGTGCTTCTCGCAGCCAGAATGAGGGCACACACCGAGGGTCACTGGCTGGCTGTGGAGCCCTGAATACACAGCCTGTGCATGCTGTCCTTTCCTTCCAACCATTTCTAATAGTCTTGGATGTCCAAACCACTGTTGGCTTTATGGTCTGAAGAAACTACAGTCATTTATAAACAGATACAGGATAGATGCAACTCCTGCAGATGTTCTGTGGGACATGCTGTGGATGAAAAGCTGGACATGAGCCACCAATGTGCCCTTGCAGCCCAGAAAGCCAACCGTATCCTGGGCTGCATCAAAAGAAGTGTGGCCAGCAGGTCGAGGGAGGTGATTCTGCCCCTCTACTCTGCTCTTGTGAGACCCCACCTGGAGAACTGCATCCAGCTCTGGGGTCCTCAGCACAGGGAAGACATGGACCTGTTGGAGTGGGTCCAGAGGAGGGCCACAAAAATGATCAGAGGGATGGAACACCTCTCCTGTGAGGAAACGCTGAGAGAGTTGGTGCTGTTTAGGCTGGAGAAGAGAAGGCTCTGGGGAGACCTTATTGCAGCCTTTCAATATTTAAAGGGGGCTTATAAGAAAGATGAGGAAGACTTTTTAGTAGGGCCTGTTGCGATAGGACAAGGGGTGACGGTTTTAAACTAAAAGAGGGTAGGCTAGATACAATGAAGAAATTTTTTACTATGAGGGCAGTGAAACACTGGAACAGGTTGCCCAGAGAGGTGGTAGATGCCCCATCCCTGGAAACATTCAAGGTCAGCGTGGATGGGGCTCTGACCAACCTGATCTAGTTGAAGATGTCCCTGCTCATTCCAGGGGGGTTGGACTAGGTGGCCTTTAAAGGTCCCTTCCAACCCAAACCATTCTATGATGCTATGATTCTGCGCTCAGGCTGTGCACACTCCCCCTCACTGCAATTAGCTAGTTCAGCATCCCCAAGCCCCAGTGCTGGACAAGTCTGTCAGCCTCTCCAGGAGACATAGAGGCCTCTGAATGTCCCTCCCCAGGGACAGGCTGCCACTGTCTGGGACTTCCACCAAGCCCTGTGCTCCATCTGGCTACCTGCAGGCTACCCTGGACTTCAGAAGCAAACGGCTCGTTCCCAATTCCTTCAGGTTGCAGTGCAGCTGTTTTTGATGCAGGTGTTTTATAAGCTACTAGACCCATAGCAGCATTGATGGGTATAGAAAATTCAACCCACTGAAAAGTTGGCAGGATTTTGCAGAGAGCTGCCAAGCCTGGCTCTCCCTGGTCAAAGCCAAAGGGATGAGAGCCGAGCAGGCAATGCCAGCATTTAGCCTGCCCCGGGGAAGGATGCTGCTATAACATCCATTGCACTGATAGTCCTTGGCTGGAGTGGAAAAGGAGACCCCTCCTCTGCTGTGCTTCGGTGACAGGTGGGTACCACGTTGCACTGCTTGTTTGAGGCAGAAAGGAGACAGTACCCCTGAAATACTTTTTCCTCCTTAGAACTGGCACCGGTTCATTTTTTTTTCCTAAAGCAAGTGTAAACACAGGCCATATATGCCCAGGACACCTCTGGAGATGTCTTAAAATCTTCCCTGATAGTCATCTTTTTCCATGAATCCAGGGTGCTCCTAGAAATCTAGAGATGAAGGTCATCTTAGGGACAGGATCGAGACTGGGATGGCGAGGTGCAAAGTGCCCGCATTGCATATGACACAGAGAATCATCCCTCCTGACGTCTGGAGTGCTTCATTGGCTAGACATAGCAGCCATTTTAATAAAAAATTTAGTAAAGATGAGACGCAAAGAGGTACTGAGTCAACAGGAGATGATGGTTTATGATAGGAAGTGAAATTTTTGGGAGGAGGCTAGGCAGGCAATCATCTGACTGGATGTGGTCCAAGGCAGCGCTAGTGCAAGAGCCACTTGTAGAGAGCACCGTGGTTGTATCATTACGGACCACAATAGCTTCAAAAATAGCCATGAACAAATATAGCAACAAAATGAGCAGCAACAAAGCAAGTCTCAGGCACGTTCCCAAACAAAAGGCTGAGCTGTGCTTCCGGCACGCATGAGTTATCTCTCTCTTCTTACAGAGGTAGCGTGGCTTTGTCCAGCCGCGTTTTATCTAACATTTGAAATTGCAGCTGTGTTGAAGTGGCATCAGCAGCTCTGGGAGTTGGCTCAGAGATGCTAAGTTACTACAGAATAATGCAGCCATGCATATTGTTTGAAGACTAAGATAATTTTTAACCCATTTTAAATCTATTTGTTGTTAAATTTGCTGAGAGCCACTGTGTTGTCCCTCTCATCCTTTCTGAAGCAGGTCAGCTTTTGATTCCTGTCATTTTTGGACCTGCAGTGATTGTTTCACTGCTCCAGCCCTTTAAACAGACACCGTCCAGCAGCTCCTTAGCCAATCTCTTACTCTGTTTGCAAGAAAAACTTGGACTCACAGCAATAAAACGAGGACTCACCCATGCCGTCAAGGTCTGAAGCAAGCAAGAGAAATGAGTTTGAAAGAGGTGCACACGTAGGTAACAAGACCGTTCGGTCAAGAGCGGCTGTCCTGCTGCCTGTACTGCCTGGGAACAGCGCAGCAGCACCTTGCTACGAGATAGCGGTGCCATGAGCTTCCCTCGCCTGGTCCCACGTGCTGACCACATCTGCACCTTCAGTGAAGTTATTTGGAGGGTTCGCTCAGCCCAGTGCCCTCAATCTCTCTTTTGTTTTGTTTTTTTTTCTCCAGAAATGGTTCAAGCAGCGCCTGGCAGAGTGGAGGAAGTCTGAAGGGCTGCCCTCAGAAAGCGGGTCTGTCAGGGACTAGAGGATGCTGCTCCGATCCCCATGCCTGCTGTAAATGATGGTGAAGCTCTTCAGAGTGGGTTTCCTTGGGATTCTGTTGCAATAAGTTTTAGATACAAAGTAATACCCTGCTATTTAACATAATTCTTATTTAAAGTGTACATAATCAGGAAAAAAATATTATATATATGTGTATACAGCTTCTGACGGCTGCATAACCTGTCTAGTGGTTCCTATCCATCAACAGCGGCTGCCCAGGGCAAAACAATCTCATGCCCTTGTCCCAGGCTTGCAGAAAAGCTGCCATGAAAGGTTCAAATACAGAAGGGGAAGAAAGATTTCATTTCTTTGTGATCCCCAGAGGCAAAATATGTGTGCTAGCTCTAACATACAGATCATCCAGAGAGGAGGGCACCTGGAAAACCAGATGTGTTGTTCAGGTGATCTTGGTTAGCTCAAGATGCCTGAGTCAGCTCTGGATATTGGCAAACTGAGTGCCTACACCGTAATGAAACCAAGCCAAGCCCCCTTGAATGCATTTCTCACATTCTGTTAAAGGTCACCAAAGGAAAAGAACTGGTCTTTTTTTTTTTTTTTTCCCACCGCATTAATAAAAAACCCAAACTTTTTGATGAGAGGAGCTGTGTTATGTCCATGCTTGTGATCCCTGCCCCAGTGGCAGGAGGCAGACTCCTCTGGGAGGGCAACACTTCTCCAAGGCAGCCTCAGTGCGCACCGTGCACCTCTTCCAGGGCACCCACGGGTCCACCCCTGGCAGCCCACACAGCCCCACACACCCCCAAGCCCCGAGGTGGCAGAGGCTGGTGGTGCTGGGGTTACCCCGCAGGGCTGGGGGGGCAGACCCCAGCCTCCATTCTCAAGCCTGAGGGATGCAGCTGCACTGGGGTTCTTGCACAAAGCCCAAACTCTCATCCATCCTGGCACAGGACAATGCAGGGGCTAAAAAATAACCAGCACCGTTGCCCAGTGACCTTACCTTGTTCAAAAGGGTCCAAAAATCCTCTGCTTAGTGGATTATTGAATCAATTAGTGGATCCTCTGATTAATCCTCTTCTGGTTTGTGGTCACCTGCCTCTACTCCTTTGGAAGGAGAATCAGCTTAACACAGGGAAGATTAAGATACACTGGCACTGAAACTGCCACATGCTTTCATTTATGGCTTTTGTCCCTTGCTGGAGAGCATCTCTCTTGCCTCAGTATCTCCAGCCCATCGCCAGTGGTTAGGTTGCCAGTGCAAAGCACCAAACTCGTAGGAAACAGATAAAAGCAGTCTCCCTGTGCCATGTCCTACACAGGCTGTGTTGTTCCCCTGCAATCCAGCTGCCAAACTGACTCACCCTCAGACCCGACTGGAGCTCAGAGTTTGTTCTGCAGAGTCTAGCACCAATATCTGTTTTCTTCTTAGCCTTAACAACATGCCTTCTCCCTTACACTGAGGGGAACTCCGCTTTTTTGAGTCAGGCTCCAAAAATCCCAATCAGAGCTGCGTTATTTTGCCCAGGGTCACGCAACAGAATATCTGAACCTCACAGATTTAACCCACCTGTGTAACTTGTATCAAAGATGCATGCAAAGCAAAAGGCTGGGTCTGCCCATTCTCCAGGCATTTGACAAAACGAGCCCCAAATCCAAGCCAACTCAATGCACATGCCACCCCAGCATTTCCAAAGTCTGTACTAAAGCTTTGGACCTTATCAAATCCAGCCCTGGATCTGGAATTTTGCAGCCTTTTGTGTTTCTACTTCTGTCACAAGCACAAAACTTTGAGTGTCACCAAGAAGATCTCTAAACTTTAGCAAAAATTTTGAAACCCAAGGTCAGGAGTCGTGTTGCATCAACCTACTGCCCGCCATCAGCTTTGGTTGCCACACTTATTTATGTGAAAGAACAGTTCCCGTGCTGGCTTCCCCCAACAGTTCTTTCATTACTTCTTTAACTATTACAGCAAAAAAAATAAGAAGAGTGATAAACTCCAGACATAACCCATCCTGGGGAGAGAGGCTTCCCACATTAGGTCAAATTCTGCTCACTTCCCCTGGAGACTATTTTGTTCTTAAAGAATGACCATTTTATTTAACTCCCCAGATAAGCCCAGTAAAAGCAGCTGCTCCTAAGAAAATTTTCCTGCTGGGTGCTGCCTCTGCGCTGTGTTCAAGCAGGTTTTCCAGCTGCAGCACAGCCCAAAGAGGGTGATGTTGCAAGGAGTGATGGGGGCAGCTGGCACGAGCAGCGGGCTGTGTTTCTGAGGGAGCTCAGCGCTTAATCGGACGAGCCAGGTCTAGGATCCGAGCAGAACAAGTTGCCTTCTTAGCAGTCTCCTTCACTGTGAACGCGTCTGGGTTGAGTTGAACCGAGCCCATAGGAGGCCTGGGGGAGCGAGGACAGAGCCAGTCAATTCCAACTGGAGCAGGGCCAGCTCTCAGGGCTGCCTGCCAGCTGAGACACCTCCACCTGAGCCCTGCCCTGCCAAGGGAGGACAAAAGCAGTCATGCCTCCGCTGCTGCTGCCAGGACACTACTGAGAGGGGTGCCCCATCGCCCACTGAAGCTGTCACAGCCGCTACAGCCAGGCATTCCCTCACCCTCTGTGAAACATCCTACCCGGCATTTCCTGCAGCCCAGGCTGAGGCCGGCTGCATCGCGCTGGGTGACATGAATGTGCTGCACTGTGCCATCTGTCAGCTGGTTGCTTTTTAGTTAATAATCAAGAAGTCCCAACCAGTAATTCCTACTGGAATTAGAAAGTTCCTATTTCTTCTCTTTTGGTTCTCCTTCCACCTCAAAAATGCTTTTTAAACCACAATCCATGCAGCATTAGCACATCCAGCCATATAAAATCCATGCATTTTGAAAGTGGAAGAGCAGTGGCTTAATCACACTGGCCAAACCCAAATCAACAAAGTGCCATGGCCTGCACAAAACGGGCTGACAGCGGATCATTTCCAGGTGGCAGGGAAGCAGCACCTACCTTTTGCAAGGCTGGGCCAGTTCCACAAGCCTTGGTGTGGCCACTGCATGCTTTGCAGCCTTTGTCACTGGCCACTCAGCATCCCGCAGGGGCACATAGTCAGGGTGCAATCTTTTTGCTCGAGCCAGCTCCAGGGTCCGAGGGCTTGCAGTTGCCTTCTGAGCCAACTTGGAAACCTGTGGAAGAATGGGGAGGAAGGTCCTTACAGGTGCGCCTGGCATTCAAGGGTGACCAGCCTGCAACTCAGTGTAGCCAGGTTCACAGCCACTGACCACACACCGATGGGAAATGATCCTGTCCACAGTTGTGTCTGGCACCAGACAAGCTGTGGAAGGAGAAATCACTGCCTGGCCAGTCCCACAACCTGCCTTCCAACCTCCTCTTACTCATAGCCCGTTGTCCAACCCATCCCCCAGCACTGGAGATCCCAATTAGATACTTGTCCATCTCTCCCCATCCCCACAACTGCGGGCTAGGCACAGAGCTGCCCTTCTCCAGGGATGTCTGCTGGGACATCCATGCTCTGGATGGAGGACGAGTCCTGCTCTCCAGCCCAGGAAGCAACGACGTCAGCCTCACAGACAGCAGCACATCCAGGGCTGCCACGAAGAGAGCCACCAGCGACTGGGCACCCAGCACCCTCCCCTCTGCCTGGCGTCCCTGCCACGGCGTGGTCCCGGGTGACGCTGCCTTACCGGACGGATGACAGATTCAGGAAAGCTGTGCTCATAGCAGCAGGTCACCTCCCTGACCCGGGGCTCTGCGAGACGCTGTAAGCGTGAGGATGCTCTGGCCGAGGTTGCGGCATTTGTAACCTGTGTTGGCACCTACATGGGTTCAGAATGGGGGAGGGATGTGCAGACACGGAGCTCGTCCACAGCAGCCCACAGGGGACACGCCCCTGCTCCAAAAGGATGAGCACCCAGCACCCTTCCTCTACAGACATGGTCACAAGAAGGAGCATTCTTACTTTCGCAGCACCCGTTATTTTTCTTGCACCCGAACTACAAGGTAATTTTGGTGCTATTGGGATCTGTACATCTTAGCCAACATTACTTTTTTCCCCAACTGTCGCCCACTCATAGCCAGGAGAGGAATACCTGTAATGAGAGCCTGTGTAGCCAGGTAAAAGTGCAGAGACATTTCTTCCAGAGTAATGTTTTTCATATTCCTCTTCCTGGCTGAATCAAATAATTTCCTTGCTAAGGAGAGATGCTCAGATTTCAGGGTAGAAGTGCTGGTGCAGTTAACTGCATTCCTACAGCAAAAGTGACTCCTGCTCCAGCATGGGACTTCTTCCCCTATTTTTCACAGGGTTACTGACGCCAAGGCCCACTCCAGCAGAGCCTCCCTTATTTCCCAGCCCAGAGACTGCAGCCAGAAAACTTAGCCTTTGCCATGGAAATGACTGTAATCTGAGATTGCCCCAAGCCCTTTCACCCCTGCCAAAGCAATGACCCGCCTAAAAGGAGCAAGTTCAGAAATACATCTCTAAATTAGGCTTCTGGTAAAACACTGTTAAAATATACATAGTGTTTGCAGGCTCATCCCCCCTATATACACAGATAGGAGCACAGCTGCCCGACTATAAAGATGACTGTACTCCCTAGGAGCCAAACAGGCCATTCCCATCAGGTTTCTCCACTTTCCCAGGCTGCTTTATCAGGGGATGCAGCCCAGATTCCTCCCTTGGCTCTCCTGCTATTCTAGGCTGCTCCAGCCTGGCTGTTTTCTGTCTTTCAGCAGGGAGATGTTCAAAGACAGCATCTTGCTCTGAAAAGGCAGTTTCTCTCAGTATCTCAAACCCCAGCAGAACCAGACAGCTTCTCGCCTCCATAGCACACACTGGGCACATCCAGGAGCGGGACACGGTATAAAACCTCAGGACAGTTTGCTACATCACTGTCCCCCTCCAAATATCACTCAACCACCTCCTCACCTCTCTGGCCAGCAGGAACTCTGGGTGCAGCACCTTTGGCCGTGCAAGCTCCAGGATCCGTGGGGAGGCCTTATAGGTCAGTGCAGCTGGCGACACGGGCCACTCAGGGGACTGGCGAGGTCTGGAAGCAGAGAGTCGTGGCACTGCCACTCACAGATATTCCCCCACACCGGTTAAACCAGGCTGCAGCTGGGATGTTTAAGCCTCATATTTGCCACAGTAGAAGGCAGCTTTGTCTTGTGGCCATTTCCAGTGTAGAACCCAGTCATGCCATGAGTCCAGAGGTCCTAATCCCAGCAGAATCCCTACTCTGCATTTTGCCCTCTCTTGTACCCATCCTCTCTTCCCGTATGTAATATTTTGAAGCTGCACTGATGCTACAAGACCCAAGGGCCTACCTATAGCACCCTGCAAGCTTTCTGACCTCTCACCTTTGCTGCAGGTAAGCAGCGTGGTATTTTTTAGGTTCAGACAGCTTGAGCAGCCGATCAGAAGGGAAGCCAAAATCCACTAGCGGGGGACGCTCCCAGATCGTTGATTCCTGTCCGCAGCTGTACAAGAAGAGGGACCTTGAGGAACAGCACAGAAGAGTCAGTAAAAGGCAACTGACAGAGAACATGATCCTGGCAGATGGTAACCTAAGTCTGGTTAAACATCCATGCCTGCTGGATGTATAAAAGTTGGCACTGGTGCACATGGAAAAGCCATGGGCATTTACACTTGAGATTTCCTGACTTTAAAGGTAAATGCTGTTTGCATATGCAGAGTCCTCTTTTAAGCACCCTAAGTGCATTGCTTTCAAAGTCTAAGCCTTTCCCTGGACCATTTCAAGAAGCCACTCCACAACACAAACGTGGCAGCATCTCTGTTGTTCAGCTCTGCCAATTTAGAAACCTCTTTGTTGCAGTGCCTGGCTGGGCTGCATCAGCCCCAATACAGACAGGGAACACTCTAGGAACAGACAGTCCCTCTGTACGCACAGGTGTGATACACACGTTTCCATCAAGGCGTGCACGCATGCACATGATGTCTCTGCTTCCAAGCCCAAGCAGAGCTGTTGGTTTGGCTTTTTTTTTTGTTACAGCAGAGGAACACACCCCCATGAGCTTGGAAACTGAGACTGGCTCCTATGGCAGCTGATCCAAACCCAGAGCTCTGATCAGACCAACAACCACCACGTGTTGCAGAAGCCCTTCCCACAGCCAGGAAGCAGGTATGAGGAAATAAAAGGGCACCAAAACTTAGCACCCCCCAGTTCCTCCTCATTTTGGAAGTCAAGCACTCAGGATCACTATGCTCCTCTCATAGCACTTTCTTCCCTGCTACAGACAGCCCCTGTTCCAAGCATCAGTACAGCCTGGTGGGTCTCAGTGGCATGGAGCCACCTGTGAGGCAGTGGTGGCAGGAGAGGAGATGGCATCTCCCCTTCCCCTGGGAGCCAGCACACACTCTGAGTAGAGAGCACCATCTGAGCTACCTCCTTCCCCAGAATGTGCTACCACATCACTGACCTGCACTGGTGCTTGCCAAAATCTTGCTTGGGCTTGGCCAGTGCCACTGTTCTTGGGGATGGTCGAGCTGTCACAGCACCCCGTGAGAGGGTCCAGATCATCTCTTGGTTTCCCCACACGAGCCTAGCAAGAACAGCAAGGGTGTGAAATTTTAGACACAGGCACAAGTGTGAAATGCGCTTGCTGGGGCTATCCTTCCCTGCCTAGGATGGGACACACACACACACACACAGTCCCTATGGCTCCCCACAGCTGCACAGTGCCGCTGCTGTCCCCTGAGCACTCACCTTCTCTGGCACTGTATTTCCTAACACTGTCCAGGTGGTTGTTGTCAACTCAAAAAGAAAAGAGCCTTCAAGTGATGAGTCTGGTTTTACAGTTCCCAGTGGACGTGCAGAAAGGGTTGTTTCCTTACATCTCTGAAACCCCTGGGAGACTTTCATGATTGCATTTTTCTTGCCTCACCATTACCACCTAACTATACCACAGGTATGACAGTAAAAATAATAATAATGTTATGGTCAGGGTGTGCCATGGAAAGTGGGTGAGGTTTTGCAGCATGCTAGTGGTTACTCTCTTGTGCCCAGGGCAAATTTGGAGTTGCTCATTCCCCATTGAGAGAGAGGCCATGGTGGGAGAGGGTACTAGGGTAGTCAGGACAGGGAACAGCAGGGCGATGGGTTTGTGGAGCCTTTTTCAAGCACAGGGACACCCATCCAGACAGTGGAGAAGAGACATTATCAAGAAACTGTTGATCTGGCTTGTCAAGCTATAGCTTGACCCGGTAATGCAGACAGCAACCCTGTTCCTAAAGCCTGACTGCTTCCTCCGGGATACAGCAGCCTGCAGCTCCAATGAGGCCTGGTCCCCTTGCACCACAGCACCATCCTACCCTGCAACACCTCAGTGGGGCAGCTCAGATGGGGCAGCAAAGGCAAGACTCAGGTCAAGCCCAGTTTTTGGACTGAAAACAAGAAAGAGCAAATTGAAGAGAGTCCCTCACACACTGAACATCTCGGTCTGTTTTTTTGGAGCCACTTCTGCTCTTGAGAGGAAAGCAGTAACAAAACAAATGCAAGGGGTCTGCACCAGCTGAGGCCCCATCAGTCCCCAGCCCTCAAGCCAGGGCTGTCTGGGCGTCTCCTTACCTGGGATCATTTGCACAAGCCGGTTTCTTGGGTTCTGCAAGTTCTTGTATCCTGTCAAAATTGCAGAAAAGGACAGATGTGCCACTAAACATGCAGTTAAATCAACAAAGCATAAAGAAGCTACTGCTGTACTCAAAGCCATAACACACTCTTGAACCTCCGCGCCTTTGCCTCCATCCTTTGTGAGAGTGCGTTTATGGGATCTCTCTCTCCAAGTAACTTTCCATCCATTTAACCTGGTGGACTCATTAGCCCATGGATTTTTGTGCTCTCTCTTGGATTGCAGAGACACAAATTTGCAATTCTGCCCTCACTGCGGGGTCCCTTTGGGACATGGCAGAGAGAGGGGGCAGGTACTTGTATTGTTAATAACATGCCGTGCAACCCCAGCAGGTAGGAGATGGATGATCTCCCAGCCTACAGGAGTCCAGATGAACAGAAACACCTGTTATCAACACTCCTGTGGTTTACTAAAAGGCACTGTGGAGACAGCACTGTTCCCACATGGCTTCAGGAGCACAGGTGAAGACATATTTTTTATTTATCCTTTTATTTCAGTCCATTTAGCACAGAGATCTTGGATGCTATGGAGACACAGGAACATACATGGTCTGTGCCCTAGGAGCAGCACTGAAAATGTTTTTACTGAATATTCATCAAACCAAAACCTTTCAGGAAGATCAGATATCACTGCTCCTGCTGCTCAAGTGTCCCAGGCCTGAAATCCCAGTGGCTGGGAAGCACTTGTGCTTTGTAAGCCTCAGTACAAAGAGGAGGACAAGACGATACCAGTGCCACAAGCGTGCTGCAGAACTCCCTGCTGCCATGGACCAAGGCCATCCCCACCCACTGGGGCTGCAGGTGCCTGCCCCCCACCAGCGGGGGAACGACCACACGACACAGGCAGCTGTGGAAGTGCCCCAGCGTCGAAAAAGCACGGAAGGTGAAAGCCTGGGGCGTTGCTTCCCTGCTTAGTATCACCCAGCAATAAGGCAGCAGAGCCCTAGAGAGGAGCGGGGACACCAACAGAGACAGATATTTGCTGACAGAAAACGGTATGTGCTTTGGGGACACGCCTGTGGTTTCTCTGATGGGGCCGATACCTCTAGTGAGATGCTGAGCCCCAGCAAACACTTGCCAGCGAGCTCAGCACCAGAGAGACCCTTGCAACGGCAGGCTGCCTTGCTGCATGCTCCCTGTGAGACGCCGGCTGATTTATCTCCCCATCATGCCTAACTGCTGGTCACAACACTGCAAACACAGCTCCCACCGAGATCCCACAGAGGCAACTGCCTGCGGCACTTTGGCCCCCTGCCGCCAGTTCAAGACGGGACACGCTCTGGAAAGCAGCCGTCATTTCAGGAGCCAAAAACCAGCTTCAGCTGTTCATTCCCAAGCGGCTCCCAGAGGCTTTTCCTTGCAAAGGTGCAAGGGGGTGACGGATAACCAGGCGGAGGCGTCCCCCCCAGCCCAGCTGCGTCACAGAGCTGGCACTATCTCTGCAGGCAGGCGCATCGCTTTTCCGCCACTGCTGGCACTGATCCAGTACATAGCCACAGCCAAACCTAGCACAAAGTGCAGGTGGCCCTAGTGCCCCACACCGCTGGCTTGGACACTGCCGTGCAAAGCTTGCATCAGGATCCAGCCAAGGGACAAGGCACGCATACATCCAAGTCGGGTCCCTCAACTCACTTGACAATCATTGTTTTTTTTTCCAATTACAGAAAAAAGATTACTTTCTACTCTTTTATCATGGCAAAAGCTCTGGACAGACAGGCATCCCCACACAGGACGCACCTGCAGCAGCTCTGCAACTTGAAGGAGTTAAGCCACCTTGTTGACAAGGGGACAGCCCTGGGGGAGCCTTTGCCCTTTGGTCACGCTCATGCTTCCCAGCAGGGAAAATGAGACCTCGCTGCAGGCAGACGCAGAAACACCTCCCCTCTGCTGCCTGAGCTCACACAGACTCATCGCTTAACGGGGATCAACTCCTTCTGAGATCAATTCCTTGTAAAGCAAAGGGTCACAGCTTCTGTTTTGAAGGGGCAGGACAGTCAGACGTTGTTTCTCATGAGAAGCAGGGGGAAAGGCAAAACCAGGCATCATTTCCTCTGTGTGTTTATCACGGTGTCATCCGATATACCGACTCGCTGCTTGGTGTAAATCCCCGACTGAGCCCTCCCCGAGAGATGTGGGGCACAGCCTGGACACCCAGCCAGGAGGCCGGGGCTGGGAGTGTTTCTTACCTGTTGCGTGAGCATGCAGACAAGTAACAAGAAACTGCAAAGACAAGAAAAGGTGAATTTAAAAGCTTGGTAACACCTGCAGCCTGGGCTGCCTGCTCCTCAGTGTGAAACAGTCACAGGGCAGGTGAAGTTTGTGCCTCTCCTTAGGATACAATTGTTTGTCAGGTATTTGTATTGTTTTTCCCTGGTACCCTCCCGGTGCGGCTGCATAGCAACGTGCTGGCAGGTGAAGCGCTCCTCTCTGGTGGCTGCTCCTCTCCGGGGGTGCTGGTGCTGGCAGCCCCCGAGGCTGCAGGACGAGCACCCCCAGCACCACATCCCCCCTCCAGCACCCTCCCCCTGGGACAAGTGCCAGCAGCCATGCTAACCTGCGGCTCCCGCCTGGCTCAGTGTAGCTACCCCTTGCTGTTGCCTTCAATAACTGCACGGGGACGTTTTGAGAGCCTCAGGGGAGCAGCGGCTGTGTTAAACTGGGACTCCATAGCAGTACAAAACAAGCCGCCATGTTTTAAGGGGGGGGACACAGGAAAACCAGACACCGGCACCGTGGGGAAGCCAGGCGTGACTTCAGGAAGCCACGTGCCCCGCTGGCAGCACCGGCCGCACGAGGGGCTGGCATCGCTCTCCCTGGCAGAGGCTCTCACCTGCCGTGCTCAGGGC